TCCGCGGAGACTGGTCCGGCCGCCAGCACCAGGTCATCGGCGGAGACTGGCCCGGCCGCCAGCGCCAGGTCATCCGCGGAGACTGGCCCGGCCACCAGCACCAGGTCATCGGCGGAGACTGGTCCGGCCGCCAGCACCAGGTCATCGGCGGAGACTGGCCCGGCCGCCAGCACCAGGTCATCGGCGGAGACTGGCCCCGGCCACCAGCACCAGGTCATCGGCGGTAGACTGACCCGACTCAGCAACAGGTCAGTCCTCACCTTCAGGTTATCGGCCGTGAACTCGAACGGCGTGTTCGGGTTGTTGGCGTCTGAGTCCCCGGTGGACGAACAACTGGCCACTGGCAGCAGGGGAGGTCTTGTGCAGCTGACGTACCCCCCTCTGCGCCTGTAGAACAACAACATGGGTCAGGCTGATGCCTCACCTGACTGTCCACTTGTTAATGACTGCTACGTGGCAGTAATGCATGTGGTGATATCTGCAATTTTAGATATAGTGGTACCAAACAGATCTTCACATTTCAACTCAGTGTGAAAAAGCAGGAACCTGGATGGGCTTGTGCGGAGATTAAATCAGCCTGTTATGGTATACAATGAGCACCATCTTCTCAAGCTGTGCTGAGCATCTCCTAAGCAGATGATGATGATGATTTGGGTTTAAGGGTGAGCTGACTGTCCTGGTCATATGGCTCCCATTGGCCAGGCAGGGATTGTTGTACATACCCTGAGCCCCTGCCATCCTTAAAGTTGCGCCATTCCAGTTTAGCGGGTTAACTGCTCTCAGCACCAACGTGGGACAACAAATGGGACTTCAGCCTCAGACACTTGATATGTAGGTGATAATACTCAAGCATTTTAGTTATTGGGCAGCAGCACACAGCATGATATTATGAAATATAATAAAGTAGTTCAGATTTTCAGCCTGACCCCATATTTGAGGGCTGAATTTTTATTTAATGGCCCTGTGCCAAGATGGATTTTTAGTGATGCAAAGCAGATATCAAACATATCAAAGCCCAGAAACATTACCTCAACCCAGCATGAAAATTAAATCCATTCATTTCAAAACTGATATGATGATCCCAGCACATATGAGCAAAGCTCAGCTCAAATGAAGATATGCTGAACTTTGCATGCATTTTTCAGGTTTTTTCAGCACAGGTACCCCTGCATTTTCACATGGAGCTTCGTCTAAAATAACCATTGCAATCTGATACAGTGGCAGAAAGTCAATGGTGATAATGTGCCCAACTCAAGGCTTTCTAATTTCAGTGTAACTGTGCTGGAATCATTGGCACTACCCCAAATATGTTTAGCACAACACACAAATTATATCTTAAGCTTTCAGCCCTGGGCAAAAAATCCCTCCACTCAGCTTGACCCTTATTTGAAGCAAGTCCTCTGAATCTGGGACATGGATAACCCAATTCAGGCAAGGCCAAATTGTGCTGTAAGCACTGTTCATTAAAGTTAACTTAGCAGCATAATTCCTCAAAACACTGACTCTCAGTACTTAACCTAGTGGCAATTGCAAATCAACCCATGGAATACCAGATTTACAACATGCATGCACTGATGCTGTTGATGGATGCCTGTAATATGACAAGCATACTCAGTGTAGCATGTATTATCTGCAATCTGGCATGAAGCACGGGTCAGGGTGTACTTTCCTACCTAACGTTAGAAAAATCATTGTACACCATTCGTCGTGTTTAATGCATGACATATCGTAAATAATCTCAAAACAGGTAGAATCATGCTCCTACCTTCGAATTTCAATAACTTCGATGGCGGGCCCCCGAGCGCCGCGCAGCACCGCACCGCCTGGACTCCCCAGCGCCGTTTCCTCCGCGTTGCCGTTGCGTAAATACAATATTTCTGCGTACCAAGAACTGTACAAAATGTACGGGACCAAAGTAAACCATTCGTCATGTTTAAGGCAGGACAACCATAACCTAACTGCGAACCATAAAAATATTTACTAAACATAAACCATATTTACCATAACCATATTTACCATATAAACCATATTAACTGCGAACCATACTATAAACCATAACTATAACTATAAACTATACAATATAAACCATACTATAACTATAAACCATATTTACCGCGAACCATAAAAATGTACCAGGACAAGGTAGCAAGAATCCGTGAAATTTGATCCTCGACGCCAACGGGACCATGGGTTGCAGGGGGATTGGGTGGGGAATGTAAAGCAAAATGAGAACATGGCAGCTAAATAAAAGCTCACTATATGGCACCTATATATGGCATGGAACATGGATGCCAATGAGATGCTGGGTTGAAGGGGATATAGGGTGGGGAGGTTAGGTTGTTAGGTTAGGTTAGGTTAGGTTAGGTTAGGTTAGGTTAGGTTAGGTTAGGTCAGGTCAGGCTGGCTTAGCTTAGCTTAGCTTAGGTTCTGGTCTATTCTCAGTTAGGTTAGGTTGGGTGTTAGGTTAGGTTAGGTGTTAGGTTAGGTTAGGTTAGGTTAGGTTAGGTTAGGTTAGGTTAGGTTAGGTTAGGTTAGGTTAGGTTAGGTTAGGTTAGGTTAGGTTAGGTTAGGTTAGGTTAGTAAGGTTAGTAGGTTAGGTTAGGATATGTTCTGGACTATTCTGGCCTGCGTGTTTCATAAATTGTACCTAAACTACTCGATAAGAAACGATTTTGGTTGCTTTATTATTGTTACCTTGGTCTCCGTACATGTTTAGGGTTTTTGATAAGCAGAAATATTGTGCTTTTTCGCAACAACGTAGAAATGGCGCTTGGAAGTCCAGGCAGTGCGGTTGCGGGCGTGCGGCCGCTCGGGGAGCTCGCTATCGTATTTATTAAATATTCGAGGGTAGGAGCACGATTTCTATCTGTTTTGAAATTATTTACGATATGTTCCGCCTTAAACACGACAAATGGTTTACATCTTGTTGTAGAGTTCTTGGTAAGCAGAATATTGTATTTACGCCAACAGCAACGCAGAAAACGGCGGCTGGGGGGTGCGTGTGGCGCTCGGGAGCTCGCCATCGAAGTTATTGAAATTCGAAGGTAGGAGCATGATTCTACCTGTTTTGAGATGATTTACGATATGTGCCGCCTTGAACACGACGAATGGTGTGCAATGATTTTTTCTAACGTTAGGTAGGAAAGTACACCAAGCCATGTGATTGAACTTCTTAGACACATATCCTGCCAGCATGGGCCCACCCAACAATTGGGCCTAAGAGATGCTAGGTCCAATCCAGTCTCCAAGCCAGTAGTCAGATCACTAGAATTGCATACATTTTTGGACATCAGTAGCCAGTACACACGACAGCGATGTAAAACGGGAACTTACGTATCCAGCCAAGGCTCTCAGAGCATTTGACATCATTATTGCCTTGGTTCTCTTCACAACCACCCTCGCTCACGATTCTCACAGCCCAATTCAACAATACCTCCTGCCACAACAAAACCAACGCTTTAGTCCAAAGATTGTATGAATTGTATACGATGGCATAGATGGCACAGCTGCATTAGAGTGGACAGGAACTTATGCCTGCGCTAACTTTGTAACTTTTGCTTTGGAAATGTCGACACTACAGCTGATTTTCTCTTCATCAAGAGCAAGGTTATTTACATCTTATTAGTGCGATCGGCAATCTCTAGCAGGTATAATTCTAATTTATGTTCAACCCGTTAATTGTTTTAAATGCCATCAGTACTCTTTTCCGTGCTGAGCTATCAACTACTCTCATTTTTCATAATTGCTGAAGAGGTGTCGACGAATGTTCCATAACTGGCGCTTTAGAGCCGAGGAATAACGAAATTCCGGTGTGGGTAGCAAATCAAGGTGATAGGTACACGAGACAGTCAACAGGATAAGACGCAAGCACGGGGGTTCACAAATGAAATTTATTAAGAATTAGCTGACTATGGTGCTGACTGAAGCTGGTGACATCAGTTAATGAAATGAAAAATTCAAAAGCCATTTTTGGCTTTTGCAGAAGTAGCTGGGATTGAATGATGGTTTGGGATGATGGAATGCACTCAACCATTCGGCTATTTTCATTATTGATGTTCTATGTCTGCCAATGTATGAAATCAGCCCATTAAAATTGAATATTTTCAGTTTGTTGCATTGTGTCTGCACATGGGTGGTCATGGTGTGTTGCTCAGACCAACCCATACTTTCTAATATGATCCTCAATTTTCCCTCCTACATATCTGTCAAACATGTCAGTGTTGTATTGTGCTTTTAGTTTCCTTGGATCGGGACCTTGTGCTGACCTGTGTTGGTGTCTTTTGCGATTTCTGAAGCTGTCACTTTCATTGTTCTATGAAGGCAGAAAAGGAGTTCCTGTATCTCATTGCTTTAGTAAAGCCACAATCCATGACAGGTGGCATGCAGATGTGGTATAGTGTTGCCTTAAGTTGGTTTTCATATTACCATGATTGTTCTATGACACCAACCTTTTTCAATCAAAGGTGGCAGATATTTGCAACTACCAAAACAGCAGCCTGCCTTGACCATGCTTGTGAGGGCTGGTGAAATGCAGAATGGGAAGTCAGTCAAATCTGATAAGTTTTGTGTTATGTAGCATGAAGAAAAGCTTTCATTGCAACCCTGCTCATAGCTAGTGCTACCTGCCACCTTGAGGGATGGTGTAACAGGTCAATTCAATAGCTATGAGACCATAACCTGCAGTGGGGTAACCATGTTACTGATGTTCTTGAGGCATATGGTGCCTTGAGGTGATACGTGGATTGTAAACACGGCAGCAGCTCTGTCATTTCTGACTTGGGACAAAGAGTGCTCAGTTGCACCAATTTTCTGTGATTTGTATAAAGCTGCAGTCTGCATTAGTTCATGAACTTAACTGAAGCTCAAGGCATGTTGTTTCTTGAAAGTATTTTTTGTTTAAATTTTTTGGCAGCAGGGAGTTGCCATAACATGATTTTTGTGTGTTTGCCATTAACTATGTCACTGGAGTGTCATGTGTGATAACTGAAGTGACTGCATAGTTTCAGGCCAGGCACAGTAAGACTGTTGGAGCATACATGTGGTCTTGAAAAATGTCATCTATGCAAAGAGCCAAGGTATGCTGCTTGGTGCAAGATGGTTTTTAGTGGGTGATCTGTTCACTGAACCTGAGTTTGATGTAATATGGCATGACAAATCAGTTGATTAGAAACAAGTATGCTAGGCTGCTTTTGGTTCCTAACTTTGTAGGTGTAAGGTGGGTAAGCCCTTTTGATGCCCTCCCCCCAAAAATGTTCATCTTTGCTGTGCTATGTCATGATAGGCTGGATTTGAGACTGCAAACTTTTTTTAACTGATTTGCAAAACCAATGTCAGTGCTAACTTTCAATCATGAATAACTCAAACTGATAAGCATACCTAACTTCACAAGAAAAATTGTAATTATTGTATTGTGATGCCTATGTGACACTCAACATTTTCATTTTGCAGCAATGGGCTACCTTTTCTCGCATCTGGCACATATATGATGCAAAGTGGCAGAACCCTTTTGAATCAGCCAAGCTAATTGCAGCATATTTGAAGGGGCAGCACAAACCAATATATCACCCCTTGAGTAAGTATAACTGCATTGCTTTGCGGAAGGCAAACTAAACGTGCACTGTGCATCTTGTGTTCTGTTTGTATAATGCATTTTTAGCTCAAAGTACAGCCAGTAAAAACATCAGGTTGAATGCCATTTTATTTTCTCTAGACTTCATTGTCTCCCATGTCTTGTGCCCCCTGTGGATTGTCCAAGCAGTTCAGTTTACAGACTATCCATTCAAAATAAAGACATTCACGTGTTTCATCAGGATCTGCTTGTAGCCATAGGTGCAGCAGCCCATCATAAGTGTAGGTCATTCAGAACCTTCATGCACCAATGTTTTCATGCATTATGCACATTTCAACTTGAGGGCACTGCCAAGGCTGGCATCAGCTTGCTGTGGCCAACTAGTGTGAACTGTCCAGAAATGCACTGCACTTTGCTAGGGCTGCTGGTAGTGACCACACTTGGAGTCAGTTGGTGCCAATAACAGCTCTGCCCAGCTGTTCTAGACTTGAAATGGGATCATTATGTTTTGGATTAACTTAGTGCACCTTCCATTACTGCAGTTAGTTTCACTCATTACGCAGTTTTGTGATAGCCACCAAAGGTGACAATCCCTGTAAGCAATGCATGTTTATTGTTCATGGCCAACAGACCTGCCTACCAGGCTCCTCATCCCCATTTGTGCCAGTTTGCTCCGTCGATCAGCTATGTGATGGTTGACTCGCTGCCTTCGCCGAGACATGACGCCATCCGTTCATGACAGGCGACTGCGGCGACCATGTGGTGGTGACAAACTGTCGGGAAATCGCCCTTCCCGGGCCCGAATGGTACCAGCGGGTCTTCTTCCACCACACAGGCTACCCTAAGGGCGGCGCCACCTGGACGCTGGCCTGGGAGCTGCACCGGAAGAACCCGACCATGGTAAGAACTGAGAGCCGCCAGGGCGCCCGGCACGAACGCTCCTAAACGTTTCAGGTCGCTACCTTGCAGGTGTGCATGGTACAAGACTATTACGCATCGATGCCTTCTCAATTTTCCCCGCCACCACGATTCATGGTTGCGGTGCGATCCCTCCCCCCCCCCCCCCCCCCCCCGCCCCCGGCATCCCGGCTCATCGTAGGGGCTGACACATCCCGTTTTTAGATGCGTCGCTTGTTCGCCATATCGATCGCTGTGTTGTGTCATTCACGTTTTGAATGTTGTCAGTCTTATCAAGGTTGCGTTAGTTGTCATCCATACGCCAGTTGCATGTGTTTTAGCAGAAACTACCCGTTTACCATAAAAGTCACGTCCTGCCTTTGCCGCTGCGTAAGACGTTTCAAACAATGGTACGCGCTGTACACCGTCCTTACGCAGCGTGTTCTGCAAGTCCCCCCATTAAAATACTGCACATGTGTGGGACCGGTGGTTGCCCCTGACCTTGCTCAACTGCCTGTACCTGTGCGCGCTTGTGCGGCCAGATTATGCAGCGGGCGGTTGCACCGGGCGGTGTGGTCGGAACGCTGCCTGCGCAAGCCCCTGATGGCGCGCCTCCACCTCGTGGCCGACGCCGAGGTGCCCGCCGAGCTGCTGCGTCACGTGACCAGCCAGATGACGCAGCTGCGGCCGCAGCCGCGCCGGCTCGACTCCTACACCGAACAGGAGGTGCGCGACTTCCCCAAGGTGTTCGATTATCCGGCTGATTATGTGGTGAGATAGGTCACTGAGTGGAGCGGGCGAGCGCTGACTGGGACTGCGGGGCGGTCGGTCGAGCTGGTCGCTGGCTGGTGGGGCGGGAGCGAGCGCGTACTGTCGTGTGCGTGCAGTGGTGAGAGCGTGTTGTGACTCATTGGGAATACAAGTGGAGATTGATACGCCTGGAGAATGTAGTGTTCTGTCGGTGAGCGTCCGTACTTTGTGGATAGTTAGGGGACAGCAGTCCCGACTCCTGGTGAGGTCAGAGGTCAGAGCCTGGTGTGTAGTGCTGGCGGTCGTGCCAGCTCGAGTCAGACGCCGCGGATGCGTCAGACGCACGACACGCGGGTCGGAATTTCAACTGAGGCCCTCGTATTCTCCCCATAGTGAGGAAATTATTCAACACGATGCACGTGCCGGGACCTTTGAATGTGCGTGTAGGATCCGCGGCGCGGCCTTCATGCGCTAACGGCAAACTGGTTTGTTCGCTTGCCCTCCGCTCCGCGCAGTCTGGGAGTCCTATCCACGGTTAACGAGACCTTTGCCAGTAGAGATAGAATCCGTTCCTGTCGATGTCTTTGTGGTTTAACCCGTGGTTAACCTACCAAAGTTACTGGACTCATCGATGAGTCGGCTCAAAGGGATGGTGTCAGACTGGACGGTATCATTGTTACTTAATGTTGATGCGCGTGCAGTAAATGCAAAAAAAAGGCCTTGTCCCTGGGTCGGGGCCAACTGCAACTTGGCTTGCGCTGCCCAGTCAGAGTCGATATTAACTCAGTTGGCTCCGAGTCGAAGCGGAAATGGATTCCATCGGCACGATTATCCCCACTGCAAATGGGGGCAAATGGCTCAGCCCGTCTGATCCGGCGCCAACGCTGTCTTCTTACCGCGATCGCAGCATTTATTCACGCGCCACCGCGAGAGTGCTTTTATTACGAAGCGCCTGCATTAAGCTGCGTCAGTTTAACGCAACTGCCCCGGCAGGGGATTCGATTACAAATATTGGGCGACAAAGTATGCCCATCAACACAGCGCGGACGGATGAGATTCGGGTACCAAGTATAGGGCGACAAGGCATCAACACCAGTCAAAAATGCGTGGACGGACGAGATTCGATACCTAAATACAACCCGACAAAGTGCGGATTCGAGACAACACGAAGTGGACGGACGAGATTCGGTCTCTAAATACAACCCGACAAAGTGGGGATTCGAGACAGCACGGTGCGTATGGACGATCCCTAACTACAACCCGACAAAGTGCGGATCCGAGACAACACAGTGTGGACCGACGAGTTTCGACCGCACACACTGGGCGACGGCGCGGCAACGCGTGTCACAACACGGCACACGCTGCGGCATCCTTCAACAGGCGTGAGCACGTGCCAGCAAAAAAACGGTCGCAGTGTGAAGTGCAAAAGCAGAGGTAAATGGAGGAACACAGGTTCAGATACTTAACGTGACAAAAGGGAGTCCAGTGCCCGAGGAACGGGATGCTGGCTGTGCCCTTCTGCTGGATCCATTCGCATTTAATGACGTGGAGTTTACATTTAGCTCCACCGCATCTTACCCAGCGTCGGCAAGAAAAAAAGGTAGCGGCAGGCGGCCGCGCAATACGACGCGCCAGCATGGCGTTCCCCTTCGCCACTGTGCTGACTTCCGTCCGCGGGCCACCGGATGGAAGTCGCATAAAAACCACAAGCAGGCCCTCTTGGACGCGACGTCCACCCGGCCGCGTTGCGTTGGCCCGCCTTTGCCAGGGGTAAACAGAGATAGGAGACCCGAGGGCCTGGCTGGCGGAACAATTTAGTAGCCCGTAATCCTCACGGGGCCTTGAAATAGCATCAAGGACGGGAAGCCAAACGTGCGGCGAATGCCTTATACGAGGCTTCTACAAGAGAACGTCTCATTTAAGTACATGGAACAATGAACAGGCATCTATATGCGGTCTCACGACTAAAACAGGACCTAAAGCTACCGCACAGCTGCATTAACTGTAAACTGGATGCATTTTGGCATAGTTTCGATAAATGAATGTCTTTAACACAATGAGAACGTACAGATGCAGGATGGACACAGCTATACAGCTGACGAGCGTGCCAAGCGGACGATCGCAGAATAACATGGCGAACAGCGGAATGAAAGATGCTACTTTGGTGTCGTCGACAGACTGAGCCTCACTTCACATGGAAGACTGGACACTGAAACGCGCTGAGATTCTGTCGCGTAGCCGCGGACGCACTGCACAAAGGCGCTGCCAATGCTGGCCCAGCGCGGGGCTATGCCAGCGCCACACACGGCCGCTGAGCCGATACGCTATCCTCGGAGCGGGCCGAAACGCAACGGAACGGACCGATACGATACATGAAAAACACGAAGTGCGTCACAGCTACTGGAGTGGAATGCGTTAATTGACGCAAGTGAGCGTCATCTGGCCAGTACTGACCAAGAGCGTACATGTGATACAAGGCAGCACCTGAAGGATTAGGGAGGGGGGGGAGGGGGGGTACACTTGAAACGTGGGCGCGATACGTGCGCCTCGTAAAACGGGCAATACTGCCACAGGGTGTAACAAATCGAAGCATCCAAAAGAATAAAAGCATCAGATTACCATACAACCATCATGCCAGGTTACCAAGATTGCCAGCCGTCGACTGCTCGCCCGCTCCAGTCCACACCCCGCAGCGTGACGGGTCCGGTCCAGCCCGGGGACCACCTGGCGGCCCGCGCCGCTCCGGTACACTGGCGCCCCTGGCGGCCGGCGACCGAACGAGGCCGCAGACGAGCGCGGCCTGCCGGTGACCCTAGCGAGCCCCGAGGCGCGCCCTGCTGGGGGCCCTAGCGGGGGGCCGAGCCAGAGCGCAACAGCGGCGCCCATCGCCAGCAGCGCCGCGGAGGCAGACGCCAGGCCCGAGGACGAGTAGAAGGGACAGTAGGGGCACTGGTAAGAGCCGCACACCTCGCAGATGTTGAGCACGTGCAGGACGGTGGAGTTCACCATCTGCATCTCGAACAGCTCTGAAAGAGTGAAGCGGCGGCGTCAGCGCGTACGTGCAGACCTCAGTTGTTCGACCTAGTTTTTCACTCGCTTTGCAATTGAACAGAATGTGATAGCTTAAACATGCACTCCGCATGACAAAACTCGAAAATGCCCTCTCTTCACCCCTCAAAATTGGGTCAGGCACGAGGTTTAAACCACGACGCTTTTATCAGCTTTGTCCAGCTCTTCGATGTGTGCAACAATCGAAACGAACCACGAGCCGCAACTGCCTTTGGTTAGACTCCAGACCCACCATAGTAGGATATTTTTGTATGACAAATGACACCAGCTAATATCACAGCCACTTTACCACGCCAAACAATGTGTTGGCCGTTCAATTTGAAGGTGAGCCGAAATACTGCTATCGGCGGCTCATCGAATGCCGCGCCTCCAGACGGCTTCCAACCCCGCGCACGGATGGCGCAGTCGCGTGACAAAGTCTCGCGCATTCTCCTGCTCCAGACCTGCACAGTCGCCGCCTCCCTCGCAAGTAAAGCCGGCAATCCGACCCCAGCGCAGCCGGGTCCCGCCCGCGTGGTCGGCGCGGCCTGAAGCCCCGCCCCCTCCCCCGCACTCACCCGGCTGGAAACTGCTAGCCTACAGCAGGGCGCGCCGGTACTTGGTCATGTTGGCCACCGGGAAACCAGCGGCGGATCGTGTAGTTGAAGCACGCGTCTCGTTGGCCGGGCAATCTGAGGCGAGGCGCCAACGCGGAGCGGCGTCATTGCAATCGTCGCAAATGGCCAATGACATGGGCCGAATTTTCAGAGACTGGGAAACGGACAGCCCCTGGAGAACCATATATTGAGATGTGGAAAGAAAAAAGAAACTATCAAACCCAGTTTACGGGGGGTCTACCTTTAATCATCAGATATGACGGCTACGGCACGCCCTGGACTCCAACAATAACGAGGAGCGACCAAGCAGGGAACATCCTTTGACCACTAGAGACCGCTTCCCGCGCCGCCACTGCGGCGTTGGGGCGACCTCGCGCCGAGGTCAACACCGCACACGCCAGGGAGAAAATGCGCTACGGCGCGATTACCGCGAACACCTACGACGGATGAGCGCAAAAACAGCCAAAAATCCCAATACGTGGAAAGCCGCGAAAGTACCGCTAAAAAAAGAGTGCAGGAAGTGTCAACTAAGCCATGCGTCACATTATCCAGCGGCCGGCAGCCATAGCAGCAGAAAAGAGCGCTCGTCGCATCCCGTATGACAGCGGCGACCCTGACGCCCAACACCCCGACGGCCGGAGTGCCGCTGGCCATCACTCACGTAGTCGAAGAACCACGTGGTGGCGCGCTCGTGGCCAGTAGGCGTGGCCGCCGATGACGTCACGCAGCTGGGGGGCGCGACCGGCGCGCTGCCGCGTGCACCACGGCGTCGCCCTCCGGCTGGTTACAACACGTAGCCAGTGGGGTTCTCAATCTCGAGCACGGCCGAGCCGCTCTGGGGAGCCTCGTCAGGAACAGCCACCTGCCGACGGGCGAGGGGGGGGGGCGGGGGGGGAGGGGGCGGACGAGTTAGAGGACGGGCGGCACTCGTGGTTGCTGAAGAACAGCTAACTGAGGGGTGGGATGGCGATCAATGTACACCGAATTTGTGGCCAAGATGAGAGAGGCGTTCTAGCGCAACACTTCATACCGCACTGCAAAACCTCACATCTCCACCGCAAACACCTTCACACCTCCACCGCAACACCCTTCACATCTCTATCGCAAACACCTTCACACCTCCACCGCAAACACCTTTATATCTCCACCGCAAACACCCTTCACACCTCCACCGCAAACACCTTCACATCTCTATCGCAAACACCTTCACACCTCCACCGCAAACACTTTATATCTCCATCGCGAACACCTTCACAACCTCCACCGCAGATACTTCACACCTCCACCTCACCGCGGGACACGCTCCATGAAACGGCAGCGGTCATCTCGGTCGGTACCTCGATCAGCCACCTCCGGGCGGTACCC